TGCATGGGTGTGTATGGAGCATGTGTGTATAGGTGTATATGTACATGGGTGTGTATGTTGTGTGTATGGGTGTGCATGGAGTGTATTGTGTAGGTGTGTGTATGTGTGTGCATGGGTGTGTATGCAGTGTGTGTTTAGGTGTGTGTGTAGGTGTGTGTGTATGGGTGTGTATGGGTGTGCATGGGTGTGCATGGAGTGTATTGTGTAGGTGTGTGTATGTGTGTATGTGTGTGCATGGGTGTGTATGGAGTGTGTGTATGGGTGTGTATGGGTGTGTATAGAGTGGGTGTGTATGGGTGTGCATGGGTGTGTATGGAATATTGTGTGTAGGTGTGTGTATGTGTGTGCATGGGTTGTATGGAGTGTGTGTGTGTGTGTGTGTGTGTGTGTGTGTAGGTGTCATGGTCTCTGTGACACCCTTCTGGAGGACCTTTCTCAAGCTCTTTTCACAGTTGGCCACAGGGCCCTGATCCTAGCTCATACTTTCTTACTGTGCCATGTTTAGTGTATTGTCCTCTTTCCCCCGCTAGGCTGTGGGTGTCTTTGCTGCCTGTGTGTTTGGCACATGAGTTTTACCTCTTTCAGCAGAATGAGTGCCCAGTTCCACACCAGTCTCTGAGCCACAGCAAGATGGCTGGTGTAGCTAGACTACGCTGTAGAAGGCACCGAGCTTATAGATGACTGCCACCATCAGGTAACATATTGCCCATAATGCATGCCACATGGCTTTGATCCCTAGAGAAACACTGTCTCTTGCTTCCATACCCATTCCAAAGAGCTTTTGTGTTTAAAAGTCTTACATCCAAGATTGCAGAATCATACTGCTGGCTGCCATGAGCCCTGTGCCTAGAGTAGTACCTGTCATCCAGTGATGTCAAGGAACACCAGCTGAATGAAAGACTGGATGGATGGATGGATGGATGGATGGATGGATGGATGGATGGATGGATGGACGGATGGACGGACAACACACATGCTTAGTTCCAGCTTGGGACTGGATGGGCATCTCACAATGGAAGCTAATCCACAGGCTCCACTGTGCTTTGTGATCTACACCCTGCTTGAAACGTCTTTCTTATGAATCTGAACAAAGAATTCTTCCTCAGGCAACCACAGACTCGAGAGCTCACAGAAGGAAGGGTCTGGGTGTCCCAGGGGTGGGTAGAGTGCCCGTGCAGTGTGTTACAACAGTATGAGGGCAGGAAAGGGGCTCAAACTAGAGAGGAAGAACCCCTGCCTGCAGAGAGGCAAGCAGACACTGTACGCCTGCTGAAGTCATAACAGCCTTAAGAAAGTGACAGAGAAAGAGGAACTGCTTGCTTAAATTCCTGACACCTGCCTTGGTTTGGACCCAGGTCAAGTGTACCCTGACTGAGAAGGGACCAACTTACTCACATGTGAAACAGGCTTTTTATGGGGTTCCCTGAGCTCGCCCGATGCTTGTGTGAGAAGATGGAAGGCCCACCTTCTGGCTGGGCAATAGTTTACTGGCCCAGCTGCCGAGATGAGGATGGGCTGGGTGCATATGTCTACACCAGATGCCTAGAACGACAATGGTGGGAGGTGGCCTGGATGTCAGTCCTCCGGTACCCAGCCTGCTTTGACACTGTCCAAACTGCCCTACCTTTGCCAGCCAGGTAGCCTTATTGTTCTATGACCAGGCAAAGGCAGAAAGTAAACTGAAGACCAGATACCCACTACTTGGCAAAAACTGACAGACACAAATCCCCTGCATTCTGAATTACTCAGATGTGAAGTTAGCAGGTGTCTTCTGTTGCTAGCCTGGTGTACTTCTGCCCAGCCCAGAGATCTTCGTCATGTTCTGGACAAGAGTGAGTCATGGAACCAAAACAGTGTCTGTCCCTTGCTGGAGCTATTGACAGGGATACGACCTGCGTGGTATCCTGGCAGCCTCTGCTTATTGAACATCCTTGTGAGAAAAACACCTCAGAAACAGCTCATTCCAGTAAAATTCTGAGTGAGGAATAATACTGGCAAGGTTGGAGTAAAAATTAAGAGTGCATTCTGTGAGAACTTCATTTCAAGATTTCATTTTTGAAAATTGTTTTACTGAAACATTAGATTTTAGAAGTCCAGGGTTTGTTAACCCCAAAGACCTGTGAGTTTATAAACAAATAAAAAGTCAAAAATCAGTCTGAGCTTTTAAAATTCAAAAATAGTGGGGCTTTTACCCATTTTATATGGATTTTAAATTATGAAACTATGGATTTTGTTGATGAAATGCATGTGTCTTCTCTGGGAAAATCTGCTCCTGAATCCACAGGTTAAATAAATAGCCCCAAAGGGTGAGATGCTTTCCTTTAGAAAATCCGGTGATAACCCAGGACAATGAGGAAAGCAGGGGCTCTTAGGATGTCTCCATACACTGCTAGCACTAAGTAGGCCCTTAAAAAGGATTGGCATTGAACCCTAATTGCAGCAGTTGGCAATTTTAGGGGCTGAGTCTCAAAGGTGGACCAAAAGCTAGGATGAGAGGTGGGATGACGGGTTGGTTATTTGTCTTGGAGTAAGTATTGTCTGATAACCCGAGAAGAAAATTCCCTCTTTCTCTTCCCTCTGCTCTCCATGGCATTGCCCAAGATGATTTCTCTCCTTGCTTAATGTTCATCCAACATCATGGACTAACACCGGGGGATTAACTCTTAAGAGTGTACAAAAGGATTATTCCACAGCAATTAGAAATGATCCTACAGGAAGAGCTCGCTGAATCAGGACTGGACACAAGGAAAAATGCTTTGGGGGGGGAGATGGCAGAGGATGAGTGTGAGAGAAATGAGCAGGCATCCATGCTTCAAGCTTCCTTTTGCTCAGACCAACTCTGATCACAGTATTCCAATGCTTCAGAACCAAAAGAAAGCAAGCCTCGTGTGTGGCTATGCCTTTGAGTCACCTAATGCCCAGCTGCACCTGATACAATCATAGCAGAATCCATGAGATGGACCCTGGGACTATAAACGACGTCAACAAGGCCACATCTCCTAAAAATGCCACTCCTTATGGGCCAAACATCCAAACACATGAGTCCTATTCAGACCACCACAAGACCCAAAGCTTCCTGAAAGAAATTCACTCTCCTTCCTGAGCACCAATACGCTGTGCTGTGGGGGACAAATGATTTGGAAGCTGGCACTTCCTAATATCCATTATATTGATTTGGGAAAGCCTGATTCCCCTGTCATTGTCACATAGCACATATGCACCCATGCACATTTAAATTTCTCACTGCTATTCTCCTTCACGCAGCTTTAATTCCTATGTTTGGGAACAAAAACTTGAGACACAATTATGTTTATTTATCTACAGTCACCAACTAAACTAACAGTCACCTGTCTCTTCGGGTCATTGGAATGGTTAATCCTTTAATCTTTTTAAAAAGCCCATGAAGATTATCTACAGTTCCATTCTGTTTGACCCCAAAGCAGATGGCAAAATGCTTTTTTCCATTCAACACTTTCCACAGAATAAATTCAGAGGAAGAATCCAGAGAGGATTCTTTGGGGGTGAACATCACACAACCTGAACTTAATAATTCTGATGGCCTCTATCCATGGTAATCTTCAAAATCAGAACAGAAACACTGTCAGTGCTCCCTGAACACACTGGATACGGAAGACCATATCAACAAAAGAAAACAGTTCTGGTGTGGAACAGAGTTAGGTAGCTCAAATGGAGACAGACGACAGAAATGTGCTCTTTACAAACTAGAATTGGCGTTGGGTAGAAATGAGGTTGAGTTTAAGACGAGGGACAAGGCTAGGAAGAAGACTCAGTGGGTAAGGGTACTTGACCCCACACCTGAGGATCTGGGCTCCATCACAAAGGCCCAGCAAATTGTCCTCTGACTTTTACACGCACTCCGAGGTGTGCCTGCATGTGCACGTACACAATTAATAAATGGGGGAGGGGTGTCAAGGAAGACATGACCCCAGAGCTGGGGAAGATGCAGGGGGCTTATGTATGGGGGGGTGGAGGGTTGCAATTCGCTTCAGCAAGCTCTTTCTTGAAGCTGGTCGTTCTCATGTTATCCATGACTAATTCCCCACCTTAGGCGCAGCCTTCACAGGTTGGAAATTATAAAACAACCTTGGAAACTGGACAGTTGGCTGGACTAAAAGACAAAGGTTCTCCAGTTCTTAGGATATTTAAATAATGACTTAATTCACCTAACGTCTCCACATGATACACCACCACCCGATGGTTCCACATTAACCACTGAGATATGAGAGATGCAGTTAAGCGATCAGTCCTCCATCACACAGCACAGCCTGGGCAACATCAGGCCTCAGGGAAGTTCCTGGTTTTTGCCAGTCCTCACAGGACACGACACAGGGGCCTTCCTCTGCAGCAACCCTACTGGCTCCAGGCTTCCCAGAGAAGAGTGAAGCAGATATACATACACAGCCAGGCCAAAGTCTCATTAACACCTCCATGGGTTCTCACAGTCAGGGAAACTCTAACCCCAGGTCCTGTAACCAGCAAGCCCGCTAAGAAATGTCTCTTTCAGAAACTGGAATGAGTGGCGGCCAGAGCTTCCAAACCCGGTACTAATCCTAACCCCTCAAGTGAGGGGACCACACCCTTCTGAGGGACCACAATCACGCCAAGACCGGTTAGCCCAAGCACCAAATTAGCCCAAGGACCAAAGCCAACACCGGTGCCGCCTGGCGCCGCACAGCGGACAGGGAGTCCGGGGAAACCCGCGGAAACCGCGCCGCGCTGCACCGGCGCAGGAGAGAGGCGCACCCACTTGGGCGCACCCACCGGGAGCCTGTCCCTCGGCCGAGGGACCCCAAGCTCCTGCAGCCCAGCTGGAGAGGGCGATGTGCGGACGGCAAGCTTTGGTCCTTGCTCTCGGTCCCCACCCCCCCCCCACGGCTGCCCGCGGGGCGTCCAGGGACGGTAGCCACACGGCGGCGACTGCCACCTGCCCGTGGCTAGCCCTCCCTGGGCCACCCCAGACCATCCCGCGACATCCTTACCTGAGCCGGACATGTGGACTCGGAGCGGACGGCCCCTGCTCGAGGCGGACGACAGGTCGCTCTGGGAACGGCCGCGGGGGCTTGGGTCCCCGGGTACCCAGCGCAAGATAGGCACCGGCGAGCCCAGAGTGTCGGGCTCGGGGTCCAGATCCTCCGCCGCCGCCGCCGCCGCCGCCGCAGCCGCAGCCGTCTCCTCCTGGCCGGCTGGCTCGTCCGGGGACGTCGCAGGGCTCTTGCCGGCTTCCGCCATCGGTCCTAAGCGCCGGGAGGGAGCGAGCTCAGTCAGGGTGCGGCCGGCGCAGAGTGCTGCGCTGTCCGCTGCGGCCCCGCGTGGAGCCCCCGGCCGGCTGGCAGGGCGGGGAGGCGGCCGCAGGCAGCGGTGCGCAGCGCGGGAGGAGGAAGAGCACAGAAAAGTTTGCACAGGAAGGAGCCGCCTACAGTCGGCTCTCTCTCCCTCCCTCTCTCTCTCTCTCTCTTTCTCTCTCTCGCCGGTGACAGCCACGGGGCTCCGAGCCTGCTGCTGCCCTCGGTGCTCGGGAACCTGCCCGGTTGCTCCACCCCCAACCGCGGCCCCCCCCCCCACACCGGAAGGCAGGGGTCTGTACCAATGGCCCCCCGCAGGGCTCACGCCGCCTCCGCAGGGCTCAGAGGAGTGAAGTTTAAGCTGCAGAGCCCAGTTGCAAGGTCAGGGTTGCAGTCAGTCCCGAGGGGTGGGGACAGGCGAGCACACACCTGACGGCTTATGATAGGACAAAGACTCAATGACTGTCATCTGTATTTTACAGGTGCGAGACACTGGCGCCAAAGGGCTCTGTGTATGCCCTATGATTCCTGGCAGATCTGGAGTCGCTTGTGAAGTGTGGTCCTTTGACCCTCCCTTTACCACCTCGTGCCCTTGTCAAAGCTCTGTGTCTCGTAGCCCTACATTCCTGGTCTGTGCTGGGTCAGACTCAAAGGTCGTGCGTGGTTTCATTTCTAAGATCTCGGTCTTCTAAGGGCCAAATTAGTGTCACAGATGTGATGTCTGAGTCGATGCTTTCCAGTGGAAGAGCCGCTGAGATGACTGGCAGCGGGTGCCTCAGTAGCCAGCAAAGGAGCCCTGATTTTGCTAATTGGAATGCCAGCTTTATCAGTTTCGAGGTGAGGTACCCAAGTAATGGCTGGCTCAAAATTGAAAGGCTGTAAAGCAGAGCTGGGGAGCTGACCGTCTCTGCACGTTTCTGACCGTGGAGGAGTGTTTCTGGGCTTCACATAGGGACCATAGACAGTGGCACGGAGAGAAGGAGACTGAGCGAGTCAGCCATTACAACTACACACACACACACACACACACACACACACACACACACCAGACGCTTCAACAAACACTTTGTATTTAACATTTAACAATTTATTTATCAAGAAACCAAACCTAAGCATAAAGTAAAAGAGAGAAAAAAAAAAAAAAACAACTAAGAGAGCAAAGCTATACAAACACAAAGACACCCACCCAAAAGGCCTAGCAACTAGGTCATGGTGTTCACCGGTGCATCCTCCACAACTGAAAACGGCTTGTTCTCACAGCATCTCTGTGTGTTCCTGTGGGGGGGGGGAGGTGGGGGGATCTGGTTATTCTAGCTTGGCTGTGAAAACTGTCCCGATTCAGATCCATTCTCGGTCAGCCAGAGTCATCCGGACTTGTAAGTATTTCCTGCTAATAAAATCTGTGCATCTATGTATACTACTCCAGAACCAGTGAGATGGATAGGCAGGTAAAGGTACTGTCTGTGGCTAGCTTAAGGACCTGGGTTCAGTTCCTATGACACACACACACACTGGAAGAAGTGAATTGACTCCTCCAAATCCCCCAAAATGGCATTCCGTATCTGTTCTCTCTCACACACACACACCCTATGTGATGTAAAACATTAAACCCGTAGTACTCTAAACTTACTCTACTTTCTTGGAATCCTGTGTGGTTCAGGAAAGGGAAGGTCGATGGTTCCGGAGAGGACAGTGTTAAGGTTGCAGGGGCACTTAGATTTTATACTAACCCCAACTGATCACCCTTGGGTTGCTTCAAATCCTAATTAGATTAGTCTGTGAGAGTAAAGCCCTGTCACCAAGTTTGCTAGTCTGCCATTCATTGTATCCTACCCCTGCTGCTCCTGCTGCTATGATTGTCCATATTCTGATGGTGTCTTCCTCGGGTGCTCCGTCCCCAACCTGCAAGCCAATCTTCATTCTGAAACATGTTGCCCACTCAAGGGACTTACCACATCTGCTCCATGAGTGTGCATATGTCCTTCAGGCTCTGCCTCTCCATCCTTTGGTTAATCCTCCATGTCATCTCTTGTGACGACAAATAGCTAATCAGATGCTTCAGAACCCCAGAAGTCTTGGGCTCATTATTCAGCTCATTATCCAGCTGTTTGGCAATTCGTCACTTTATTTGACAAATGTCGTTGAGTGGCTCTTATGGGCCCAGCACCGGGCTAATGCCTCCCGCCCTGAATTCATCCCTTCATTTCCTCTCCATTTCCATACCTCTGTTCCCCTGTCCTCATGAGCTCTGTCTCCTGTGCGTTCTTTGCTAGATGTCTTATGACTCCTGACCCCACTACGGCACAGAGCAGCATCGGTAGCAATCAAATCAGAGCACCGAGATGCCCGTGTCTGGGAAGTTCCCATGGCCACATTGCCTGGCTTGAACACAACTGAACACTGGCTTCTTCTGGACCCTGCTTTGCTGGTTTCTAGGACACTTGCATCCCCTGGTGTGATTCTCGTGCAGCTTCTCTGTCACCCTCTTGCCTTCATCTCTTCCTTCTACCTGCACATTGCCCCCCCCCATTTCCAAAGCCACCTCCCAGAATCCAGTCCTCTTTGGACTAAACAAGGACTTTCTGAGCTCCTAGGTCTGGGAAGATGGGCTGACATTTCCCTGTTGCTTATTCAGCCTCAGTCCTTGTCCTTCTAAAGGTAGTTCTGTGGTGGCTCCTGCCACCCATGCCAGGCCCAGCCACATAGTGCTCTGACTAGACTTCAGCAGCATCACATGCAAAGCTCCGGGCAACTGGACCACCAAAACTCCCTCATCCATGTCCCGATCCCTTCCAGAGGGATCTATTGGAGGGAGGCTACATGGGTATCACTCAGAACTGAAGGTCTTCATTACTACTTAGGAATCAGAGCTGTCTGGGAACGGGGCTAGTGGGAATTCGAAATGGGCCCAAATGTGGAAAACTAGAGCCGCTTCCTAGAAGCAGAAATGTACTTTCGCACTGTCGTAGTGTGACCTCTATTGCTGTGATGAACACCATGACTGTTTTAGTCACTGGTCTATTGCTGTGAAAAGACACCAGGACCAAAGCAACCCTTCTAAAGGAAAGCATTTAAGTGAGAGCTCCCTTCCGCTTTCAGAGGCTTAGTCCATTATTATCATGGCAGGAAGCGTGGAGGCCCACAGAGGTCCACCTCTGAACCTTAGTAAGGGAGAGAGAGAGAGAGAGAGAAAGAGAGAGAGAGAGAGAGAGAGAGAGAGAGAGAGAGAGAGAGAGAGGGTACGGGCAACTGGGCCTAGCCACACCTAATCCTTCTAAACCTATCAAAGCATTCACTCCCGTGTGGCTAAGCATTCAACTATATGGGGGCCTTTCTTTTTCAAACCAACACAATAAGAAAAGCAACTTGGGGAGGAAAGGGTTTGTTTCACCTAGGTGCTTATAGCTCATCATGAAGGGAGGTCAGGGAAGGAGGCGAGAGGTAGGAAGACCACTAGCTTATTCCTCACTGTCCTTACAACCCAGAACCATCTGCACATGGGTGTCACTACCCACAGTAGGCTGGGCCCTCAACAGAAAGAAAATTAACCAAGAAAATGCCTACGGGAAAATCTACTGGAGGCATTTTCCTAAGCAGAGTTCCCAGATTTCCCTGGCTTGTGTCAAATTGGCAATAAGTAAGTAAATAATAAAATTTTTAAAAATTAAAAGAGGAAGGAAGGTAGAAAGGAGGAAAGTCTAATCAGGAAACACTCTAAGACCCAACCATACTACTTTGAGTGATGGATCCAAACGAAACAATAGCTTGCATCCATGCAAAACTGTGAGAGCAGGTGTTGATGGTACTATTTTATTAGTGCTCGCCAAATCAGAAGGCAGCTCAGTAGGTGCAACCGTACAGGGGAATGCTACTCAACACCAGGAAGACAAGAACCATTATTGCGTAATGGGAAGAGTGTTACATCCCACTTGGAAGAAGATGCCAGGGTCTAAGGCTTTAAAGGCTTCCTATTGCACGGTGCCATTTAATTAACACTGTAGGAAAACAAAAGATTAGCAGTTGCCAGTTGCTTGAAAGAGGGAATAGGATGCCATTTTAAGGATATGTTATCCTTTTCTACATATACACCTGTATTTGTCAGGGAGCAAAGGCCTGGCTCCCTGTTTAGGACAGAGGCACACCTTTCATGTGTCATTCTTGTCCCATCTTTAATTGCATGGGAATTGGAGGAGGAGAGGAGAGAAGGAAATGACAAGTCAGGTTGGTTTAGCGTGTATCGCTATGTATTGTCAATATCGGATCCGTTTGCTTTTAAGCTCAAGCTTCCCAAAGGAGGAGGAGTAGTTGAAGGAGGAAGACCTTCAATCTCCCAGTGAGCCTGCACCTGTAGAAAAACAAGCCAAAGTAACTTGTTGATCAACTTCCTGTCCTTCCGTATCTCTGGGTCGGTACCCACCTCAGGATTTGACCGCCAGGTTGAGGTCTGTTTTGGGATCTGAGGGTACGGAAAGTAGATTGTGCAGAGTGGCTGAAGAAAAGTAGCTGGGGTGTTCATTTGTGGATTGACTGAGCGGAGCTGAAGTTCTCTTGGCTCGTGGTTTGGAAGTGCAAGGTCAAGGGGTCTGAGACGGTCATCATGCTAGCTGAGTCCTAAGATGGTGCAGATATCTGGTGGTGAGGGATAGAAGGGGAGCCTGCCTGTGTTGTGGGCCTCTTCTGCTCTCTCTTTCTCCATCCTCTTACAAAGCCATCAAAATCGAACCACAGGAGCTCAGCCCCAGTGACTTCACCCAGCCCTGAACCCCTCCCAGTGGCCACCTCCTTAGTGGCCCCGACAACAGGGATCATCAAACACGAAATTCCACGGAGAAGCACACAAATCATATACCAACCATAACAACAGGCAAGCAAGCAAGGCAACTCTGGGTGTGTTGCTACGTAGAAGTAAGTGGGATGATTTACCGGGAAGCATATACGAGGGGAGTACTTAGCCAGCCTGGTTTAAAGGCGGAAGCTTTGAAAAGACTGGAACCACAAAGCCTCGTACGCACCAGGAGAGGAAGTAGTCCACAGCAGGCTGGAGGAGCAAATGCTTGTTGCAAGGAGCCAAGGAGGGGAGCCAGTAGGGCTGGGTGTCATGAGAGAGTACTGGGGGTAAGGTAACATGGAGATGTTAGTGCATAGACG